ATTGGAAAATAATTCGTAAGAGAATATCGTTAAAAGTTAGTCGTAGTTTCTAGTTTTCTTTTATTCATTAAGCAAACACGATATCAGTTAAATATTCAGGAAGTGTTTCAACGTAATTCGCGCGAAGGTAGAAAATGTATATATAAGAAATTATAAAAAGATCTTCCTTAAAGAGAATTAGAAAATAAGTGCACTTTTCACGATAGAAAAATTTCACAGGGCGAACGGTAGTAGTTTCTTAGGAACCACTTTATTTCGTAGTCCATACGAGATATTTTCCTCGTATAAAAGAGAAACTTTTAGCATAATGTGACACCGTGTATAATATATCATATATGTGTATATGCATACATTGCTTAGGAACAACGTTTGAGTACTCGTTCTACGCTAGAATGCACGCGTCCGTCCTTGGAGAAAGAGGTACATACAAGTTACGATCGTTTTCCCACTCTTTCTATATATTATTACTATTATTATTATTATAACTATTCTTTTGTAAAACGAAGGTACGTATACGTATGCATATGAAGAGTATACATCGTACGTGTGAGTACGAATAAGTAGAATTCGACACGCAACGGATAAAAGAAAGAAAAAATAAATAGAAAAAAAAAAAAAGAAAAAAAAAAGATAATTCGCGAATAGGCCAAGCCTAGTTTTCCTTTTCTCGAACGAAAGCGAAACGCGTCGAATGTTTTAGAAAGTGTAACCACAAACTTAAGATCTAAATTTATGATTGTTAAGAATGCATCGTTAAACGAGAAACGAGATTTAGATTTGAAAATAAAGATTTTTATAATGTATTAATTTGTTATTTACTAAAAAATAAATTTCCAACATAAAAGCAAGAAACCGTCCCGACGATGATGATGATGATGATGATGATGATGATAATGATGATGATGATGATGAGCTATCCATGAGATTTAAAAACTATCGTTTTTCCTTCGACCAATTAATATCCAAGAAACGAGAATTTTTAGCTCGAGGCAGGCAAGAACACAACAGCTGCTGCTGCACCAAACCGAAAACGGGTCCCAAGCGCGTTAGCCTAATCAACGTCGATGAAGGAGACTCGTTTCTGATCTCGTGTCTCAGGATTTTCGTGTTTCAAGGCTCGAATACACGTACTTATACTCATACAGGTTTATACTACATATATATATATTCGAATTCGTTATGCGAGTTGCCTTGGCTCATTCTCTCGTTAGTATATACCCTTATATATATGTATATGTACCTGTGTGTGTGTGTGTGTTTGTGATGCTCGCAAAAGAGGTTCTATCGCGTGCTGCTCGTCGTTATTTATGAGCGCGTTAAACGCGTTCAACAATGTCGCTTGGTCAGGGTGCTTCGCGAAAGGGGGGAAAGAGGGGGTGGCGGAGGTGACTGGTCTCGAACGAAGAAGAAGAAGAAGAAAAAAAGAGGATGAAGAAATCCCTCTCTCCGCCTCGTCCGGTGCAGCACACAGTGCAGTTGCAAGTAAACTACGTATTCCTCGTAACTCGCTCTCGATATTATTATTTTTCTTTTCCACGTTTATCCCTACTTTCTTTCTTTCTTTCGTTTTCTTTTCCTTTCATTTCATTTTTATTCTATTATTATCCGGTTCCCCCTTTTGGTGCAAATTTTTATGAATAAGAGTGCTATTCACGAGATATACGATGGGTGGTTGATCATAATTTTTCATTACCTACCTACCACTACTAAAGAATATCTCAAGTTTCTGAAAGTACTATTCTAAATCTTCGTTTTTTTTTTTTTATTTTTTATATTCTCCTACTTCTGTTGTCTTTCATGTAATATGTTTATTATGCCATTTTGGTTAGATCCTAATTTCTTTTTTTGAACGACGAACGTTTGTCCCCCCGACCCTACTAACCAGTTATTGCTCGTTGATATTCAGTTAATATTTGAGATTGAAAAGAAATCGATTCCTTTTTGTTTTTGTTTTTTATTCAATCCTTTTTATCTTTTTCTTTTGTTTTTTTTTTCTTCTTCGAGAAGAAAAGGGACGCGTTCGATCGTGACTCGTGAGAATACTCGTTTATTATATCTTTGACCCCTTGATAGAAATTTATGCCAACATTCGTCTGGCCTTAATTGTCTTTAACCCCAATCAATTGGCGCCAACCTCGGTAGTTGACGGTTTCTTGGTCTCTGATGTGTGAGACAAACATCTGCGACGACGACGAAAAAGAAAACCGAAAAAAAAAAAAAAAAGAAAATAAAAAGAAAGCGCGTTCCCCTATCCACTTCGATAATATCTACAAAATTTGACGATAAAGATCTAATTGTTAAGTAAGATGAAGAACCTTTTTACGTTGGACCGCTTGTTAAAACGTGAAAAATAATGAGTCGTTATTACTCGATCATAGATAAAGTCTCTATTTGTATGTAAAAAAAAAAAAATTTTAATTTCCAACTTCTCAGTAAAACACTCTCTCAACTGTTTTGACAAACATAAATCTGTCTCTCTCTCTCTCTCTCTCTCTCTCTCTCTCTCTCTCTCTCTCTCTCTCTCTATCTCTATATCTTTCTCTTTCTTTATCTATCTTATATTTTCCTTTTACAGAATAAAAAAAAAAAAAAAATATTTTTAAGCATACGCGCGTTAAACTTTCTCGCACAAACAAAATTTATAATCTGGTTTGATATTTTACGACCCTCGTAAAGAATGATTCAAAGCTTTTAAATTGAAAGAAGAAGCCTACTTAATACTTGGTGTGTACCACTTTGAATCCAACCAACGCAAATATCATGCCCGTAGATAGACACCATTCCATACTAGCTCGATAATTATGACACAGTGAACGTCATCTATTAGCAATATATCTTCTATTTCTTTTTTTTTTTTTTTTTTCTCGTTTTTTAATCTAGTATTATTAGCCTAATAATAAGCAACGTAATTACAGACTTCTCTAGCTCTATTATGTTAAGCTTATGTACTATACAAATGCGTTGGCTTTTGTCGAAGGCTTCAAAATAATGTCGCATTGATTGATGCGTTCTCAATCATAATTATCTAGAATATCCCTGATATGTTACGTATCGTTGAAAAACGATACGTTTAAAATATTTATATAATTATATTTATTCAAAAATAAAATCCATTAGTTTATTCATTCGAGAATGGAAAAAAAAAATAATAAAAGAAAAGTAGATAGAAAAGAAGAGAGAGAGAGAGACAAATAATGGTATTAGAAAAAAATCACATAACTCGTAACTTAAACAGTATACTACATGTATATTTATATAGTCATTTTTTATTACTACCTTAATTATTGAAACATAAAAAAGCCATTTTCCGTGAAGTATAAATATTAATATCGTTTAACAAAATATACGAGTTTATAAGTAATCCTATCGGACAAATATCTTTCTTCTCTCTCTTTCTCTCTTTCTTTCTAACGTGAATACATGTAATTTCAAAGAACTACGAAAAGGGTACGCAGTTTAATTATCATTCAAATAACGTTCCTGTGCCCAACGATGCCGGACTGTCGGTGACTACCCTTTTCCTTGCTTGCTTGCTTGCTTACTTCTCTTCTCTATGAAAAAAAAAAAGAATTAAATACATATAAAAAGAAAAGAAGAAGAAGAAGGCAAAGGTGGTGGTGTAATCTAAGGAACATTTTGTATCGTTTTAAAAAGTAAAAATATAATCGAGAGAAGTACTTCGCGTCCGTTTTCGTGTCATTAAACTCTTTCGGAAAAAAAAAAGGAAGAAAAATGACGACGACGATGATGATGATGATGATGATGATGACGACGAAGAAAAAGAGGAAGAAGAAGAATAAAAGGGTCGGTCATCCAGGCCGGGCAGATGTCCGCCTTCTTCGATCCGTCCCACTTTCTCAAATGCAACTCTACTTTCGAGAAACTCCGACGAATCTTTTCGAAGTAACTTTTTCCTTTTTATCATTTATTTCCTTTCGCGTGATTTACGTTTACTCGCCAGACACACAGTGGCTTCTGTTTAAAATATATCCTATACGTTTAGTTTCCGCTTTCGAATGTTTACGATGCTCACATCTATACACATCAATCATTGATATATACTTTAAAATTGAAATGTTTCGTTTATTGAAATTTTGCGATGATCATTGGATAAGATTAAATAATAAAGAGACGAAACACGTCCAATTAATCAAAACTAAGTTCTAGTTCTTTTTAATGACCAAATTCCCTACGATACTTATTTATTAAATATATACCAATTTTACTTATTAAATAAAGAATTACTTTAACGAAAATCTATATTCTATTCGAACGCGAGACACCTCAGAGTCAATCTAGGAAACATCAGTTATTGCAATGATATCAGAATTGGATAGGAAGGATTTACGATCTTTCGAGCGGATGAAACGTTAAAGGCCTAAACTTCTTTCGAAAGATTAACGTTGACCCTTCAGCTGAAATTTATCGTGGCTAACAAATACACGCGAGCTCTTTCAACCCTCTTTCTCTCTTTCTATCTTCTTCCCTTTCTTCCCCCACTTTCCCTCGAGAAACTCGGTGATTGTAAAATACTGCACCGAAAACGTTGGTTCCATTGCTCTTGAGGGTAAATAAATCTGAAAGTTACACTGCCGGTGCTCGAAGCTGAAAGGTTTTTTTTTTTGGTCGAGATAACATTAATAACTTTTTCTTCTTTTTGTTTTTTTTTTTTAACAAATCCCTTCGTACAAAAAACCTTTTTTTTACACGCATTCGAATATAAATCTTATATTTAATCGTACTATTCTTTTTTCCTCGAGTCATTATCAATCTTTGACAAAGGTATACCTCTGGAATTAACAACAGTCGATGTAATTCGTTCGTTCGTTCGTTCGTTCGTCGAATGATTAGGCTTTTACGCATTTTAATCTGGTTATTTGCAGAGAAAGTAACGGCAGCTTTCTTATATACCCAAGAGCAGTCGCCTGTTTTATTTTCGCTCGAGCAAACATAGCGGTGCATTTAATTAACGACGGTACGTTTATGTTTCTCTGTTTCAGAAACCGTCGTTCTTCAATACGAAACCCACGCGGGTGGATAAATCGAACGCCAAGAATGCTAACAATTCAACCAGCAACAACATTCATGAAGTTTATCGTACGTAAATAATTTCCTCCCGTCCTCCCTCCCTCCCCATTAGTATTTAATTAAACAATTCTCGATAAACGAATAATTTATTTTTATTTTTTTTTGTTTTTCCCCCTTTTCTTTCGCATTCGTTTAATTTAAAAATATTGAAAGTGAAAGTTACTTAATGTTTCTTGTTTTTTTTTTCCTTTTTGATTCCAACAAATCAGCCGGCAAGTTGCCCATGACACCTCAGGAAGCTCTGAAGTATTATGGATATCGACTTCCGGAATTCGAACGCGCTGAGATAGAAAAGTATTCTGAAATTTGGTATTTGGGTTTGTCGGCGAATAAAATTCACGGTGAGGAAGGTGCATCCCAAAACGGCGGTTACGACGACGAAAACGGTAGCTACAACAAAGTCCTGCATGATCACATTTCTTACAGGTAACGTAAAATTTGTTGATCTCGATAATTTTCGATGTATACAAAAAAAATCTTTCGATTTTTTTATGTAAACATTTTTTTTTATTTATTATGCAGATACGAGATATTAGAAGTTATTGGAAAGGGTAGTTTTGGTCAAGTGATTCGAGTATTCGATCATAAGACAGGTCAACACATTGCAATCAAAATCATCAGGTATTTAGTATACTCACATTTTTATTCAAACTATGCATTTGTTCTTGTTTATTTTATCATTACTAATACATACGTACATATATTTTCCGTAGAAACAAAAAGAGATTCCATCATCAAGCACTGATCGAAGTTAGAATCTTAGAACATCTGAAAAAGAAGGATCTGGATGCCGACGCATCGCACAATGTGATACACATGTTAGAATATTTTTATTTCAGGAACCATTTGTGCATCAGTTTCGAGTTAATGAGGTTAATATGCGACGAAGATAAATTTAATTCCATTTAAAATGTCGAGATACAAAATTCAATCTAATTTTTGTATTTTTACAGTTTGAACCTGTACGAGCTAATCAAAAAGAACAATTATCAAGGATTCACCCTAAGCCTAGTACGACGATTCGCCAATTGTCTGATAAATTGTCTTAGACTACTTTATCGAGAAAATATCATTCACTGTGATTTAAAGCCGGTAATTATTTTCTTTTAATACATATTAGTAATATCAATAATTTTGTCAGAGAACAGTGTTTGCGTTAATACACGTTACGAATATTCGTATTAGCCTAAAATGATTTAAATATGAATGAAATTAATTGTTTACAGGTTAAAGTAATTTAGAAATAAGTTGATTGTATTCACAGGGAGAACGTATTTTTGAAAGAAAATAATTGTTCACAGGAGAACGTACTTTTAAAACAACGAGGTAGCAGTTCCCTCAAAGTGATAGACTTTGGCTCTTCCTGCTACAGCCATCAACGTGTATATACGTACATTCAATCGAGGTTTTATAGAAGTCCAGAGGTGATTCTCGGTCTTCCCTACGGCAAAGCGATCGATATGTGGAGCTTTGGCTGTATTTTGGCTGAACTTTACACGGGATATCCTTTGTTTCCTGGTGAGGACGAGATAGAACAGCTCGCGTGCATCATGGAAGTACTAGGAGTTCCTCCAGAACACATCATCAATCACGCTTCGCGTCGCAGACTCTTTTTCGGTAAATATCAAAACTGTCTTTTCGAGATTTTCTTTTTTTTTTTCTGTCAAATTTTCATTCTCTCGTGTCAAATGGAAACCGATACAAAATTCGGATAAAAAGTTCAACTTTTAAAAAAGACAAAAAAAAAACAAGAACGGGTGTGCATGATATGCAATTAATGAAAGAGAAAAAAAAAATAAAGGAAAAGAAAAGCAAGAACGAGCGTGGGGGTGGGTGCATGGATATGGTGCAATCGATAGAAAAAAAACAGGAAAAAAAAAGAAAAATTGCTTATATTACAGATCAAAAAGGTATTCCACGATACGTTGCAAATAGCAAAGGGAAAAAGAGATGGGCTGGCAGTAAAAGTCTAACAATGGTTCTTCGATGTACCGATGTACAATTCGTCGACTTCGTTAGCAGATGTCTCGAGTAAGTTGTTGTACAAAGTTCGTAGCGTTAAATTGGATTTATACTATCTATATATATATATGTTTGTTATAACTCGTGTTCTACGCAACCGATAATCTAATGAAAAAATAGTTTAAATTTAGAATGATACCATAGAAAATACTTCAAGTATATATTACTTACATTAACTTTTTCAATGATATTTTGATAATAGTAACGACTTGTCGCGTTGATGATTAAAAAAAAAAAAAAAGAAAAAATAGAATAATAATAATAATAATAATAATTAAAAGAAACGTAAAGAGAAAAACGTTTGTTTTATTTTGATAAAATCTTAGGTGGGATCCGAAGAAGCGCATGACTCCCGAAGAAGCAGTGCGTCACGAGTGGCTGAGTTCTTCATTGGTTAACGCAAGTTCCTCTTCGTCGTCGTCGTCGTCGACTATGACGTCGTCAACAACAACGGTGAACGCGAACAACGGTAACAACGGTAACAACAGCAACGCTACTACGGCAGCGGTAGTCGAAACGACTCAATCATCTCACGCGCAAACTGTAACACGTCTGACGGTTAGCGAATCGTTGCAGTTACCTTCAAACATGGAATACGCTCCCTACAGTCTTCTCGCTCTCTACCTCAAGCACGATAAACACATGAAGAGGGTCGGCGGGTCGGAGAACTCTAAGAGCGGGGGTGCCGCGACTACGGACAATTCCAAGAGTAGCAGCAGTCTTGTCGTTAAGAGCAAATTAAATGGTAGCGCAAGTAGTCATGCATTGGCAAGTAGCGCTCAACAAACAACGACGTCCAGGCACGCCTCGACCGGTGACATTGTCTCTAGCCTGGACCCGAATCTCGACGACTCCGGAACGTTCCTACCACCGATATTGTGAAGTCGGGTTTACGCTAGCCACTTTTAAACGTCGTGTCTATTCCGTTACGAGTTCGTTCTCTGCGTTATATTCCTATATTTTTTAGATCGAACGATTGGAGGGAGGGATCGATCTTGTTGTGGTTGTTGATCGATACCCTGCTGCCAGATTTATTATTTTCTTAGCTTCTATCAGCTGTGTATTTTTTTTTTTGGGATCTAAGAAAAGCAACATTCTGGATAGCGTACACGGAATAATAATAGAAGGATGAAGAAGAAGGAAGAAGAAGGAAGAAGCAGGAAGAAGCAGAAGAAGAAGCTTTATTGATATATAATAATCGAGTAGAATGTTACTCAATAGAGTGTTTGTTGTAGTACTTTTGTGCAAGCTAATGAAGAAGAAATCGATTCAAAAAGCCCAGGTCAATTTATAAAGAGTTGTTGTTCATTCTAAAGAATAGAGTTTTTAGCGACTCAGAGAACGAGAGATCTCATTAAAGCGCCTAGAAAACAGCGCGTTAATCAATTAAATCATGAGCAACAATCGATAACGAGAGGGAAAGTATTCTTTTTTTCTCGATTTTAAAAGCCAAGTACGCTTTCCAATTTTCTAAGAGCAATATAGAGGAAAAATATGAATCGTTTTCGATAAAATCAAACGTTGCCGTATAGAAATGTTAGGAATTTGAATACGCGATGAGAGCGAAGGATCAGCACATGATGCGATTAGAAATGGCTGGCCCCGTGTAAACGCTTGACACGTTCTCGATGCCAAAAGGGCTTAAAAGATATTATCGATTTAATTCTCAGCCCTTCCACCAACCCAACCCAACCCCCCCCTCCACCTCCCCTAATATCGAGCTATACGAGATCGAGATCGCACGTCCAGACTTTTGGTTTGGTTTGATCGTAGCAGAATACATGGGATATGTCCGTTATTAGAATCATCGCTTGCAAGACACGGTTGAAAACTTTAAATTATAATGGCGTAAAGTTTGTTGTCACTCTAGTATCCAAATTGTGTTTTCTCTTTTTTAACGAAACAAAAGCCGTGTTAAATCCCCCCGCCCCTCCCCCTCGTTCGAGTTAATGTATTTATATTTAACGGCAAATTTTTGACGCGTCAAAATATCGAATGAGATTTCTCATAGAAATCGTATATCATCCGTCGTAGTGTCGTGGTGGTAGATCGTTATAATCGTGAAAAAATTATTCCGTGTGTGATCAATGTTTTGTTCTCGAAGATGTATTACATAAAATGAGAGAGAATGGTGTTTCGTCGATGATCATCGCGCGACAATCATTGACAAAACAATTATAGTAGAATCTGAATGTCGCGCTAATCGATAATCTTAACCAGATATTAATTATTATTGTTTCCTTTTAAGCGATCGCAATGGGCGAGCTTAAAAAAAAAAAAAAAAAAAGAAATATAATATTCTATTATAATTTAAAGATATCGTCCGTGTAGTGTGTCGAATGGATTTTTTTGTTCATTACTTATAGTAGATAATTGTTTACGACGGTGACAAAAAAGAAAAAAAGATAAAAAGGAGGATAAAGAAAAGCGTTAATCAACGTGTTTCAAAAAATGTCGCTCCTTTTTTTTTATCTTTCGATTATTTTTTTTTTTTTTGTCGTCACGTTGAGAAAAGATCTGAGAGATATTATCTCGCGGCCATCAAAAAACGGCTGAGATAAAAATCTTGATCAATAATAATAATAATGAGAATTTGTAAGGAGCAACCCTTAAAAAAGAAAAAGAAAAAGAAAAGAAGAAAAAAAGTAAAGTAAAGTAAAGAAAAAAAGAAACGAAGTGTGCCCCAGTTTCGCGAGGCCTGTGTAGTCTTATTGTGATATTAAACTACCACTGTCTTATTTAGATCTCTGGTATTAAGAAATAATAACGATCGTTAATAATTTCATTACTATTAATCACTAATGTTTTCTTTCTAATGAGTATTGCAAAAACAAAATATCGCTACAAGATTATAATTACATGATTAATGTGTGAAAGGGAGAGAGGAAAAAAGAGAGAAAGAGAGAGAGAAAGAGAGAAAGAGAGAGAGGTGTGATTAACATTGATGAAGATTTTAATATTATCTTGTAGGATTGTACAGCTTTTAATTAAGTCTGCGATATTATATTCCTGAGTAGCATGCGATTTGCTTGCGTAATCGACTACGTAAAATGCCAATTTCACTGAAAATTTCCACATCATATGAATTCGTCTTTATATATCGATAATGCTTCTTTTTTTTATTATTATTATTGTTATTATTATTATGATTATTATTATAATAACTATTATTATGATTATAATTATTATTATTATCATCATCATCACTACTATCCTTACTTTTATTACAATTAATATTAATATTATATATGTATTATTACTATTATTATATTATTATCATCATTGATCGTACGATTACGATATTATCAGTCATACGTTAATTACACCAATATCTTTATGTAAAAAGCGATATATATATATATCACCACTTTTCATAGATCGTACTTTAATTCACTGAAATTATACATCATCGAAATCCAACTTCTTGAAATGTTAGCGCAAAAATCAATGAAAAATATCCAGGGAACACTCGTCTTTTAAGAACGCGGAATGAATTTTTACAGAAGGTGATTTGAATTTGGTCTAACTTACACGTCGTTTAGATGATGCGCCAATTTTAATGAAATTCGTCAAATAACGAAAGATCGTAGTATATATATATCCGAGCTTTAATATTTACCGTTATAATTCGCAACGAAAAAAATTTGGTCAATTCAATCTAGACTTGAACGAATCGAAAATTTCATTAATAATTTCTCTTCCTTGTATCTTTTATTCATATATCTCTTTTCCATTTAATTTGATCGTTTAGATTTGAATTAATACGAAAATTTATCAATCATCTCGTTCAATCGTTCACGTATCCATTTTCATAATTCATACAGATATATTAGTCGGACTAATTATATCCGTTTTGGTCCAATTTAAAAGGCTTATAGAAAATAATAAGCTTCGTCAAATATCAGCACGCTAGGAAAACCAGTCCATACGATATATATTTGATTTGCCAATTATCAATCAGCTTCCCCTTTTAACTTCCTAAAACCCCTTCTTAATCGGCTTCAAAGAGGGGATGTATTAGACGTTAATGAGTGATCAATTCGTGTAATATCCTTTCTCGACTGAGATCATTAGTTTATTAAATTCTCGTGGACCACCATCTATCTTGTTCGAGTGTCCATTTGAATGAGAAGAGACAAAAAATAGATAAGTAAGTGATCGTAACAATAAAAACTCGCGTATGGTTTAAACGTAAAACAACAAAAAGTACTTGCGACAAGACTGACCGATTGTATACAATTTCATCCAACAATCAAATTAGCGTCGTTCTCTCATCGCGTATTTATACATATACATATACATATACATATACATACATACATATAAACAACACACGACGCGTTCGCGGATCTTCTAGGACTTTTAAATCGTGTTTCTTCGTATCACCAATTAAAAGATTCATGTTTAGCTTATAACTATTCTAATTATTATTCCGTGTCGTTTTTGTTTGCCATTTTTTTGTTGTTGCCCCGATTAAGGCCAATTCTTTTCTTTATTCGTAATTAAATTTCGTATCAACGACACAAGGAATCTTTTTTTCTCTCTTTCTTTTTTTTTTTTGAAAACACTTATCGCGTATCTAAAAATGTCTTTTCGAAAATAGCCGCGTTCGTCGAAAAAAATTGAAAAGAATTAGAATAATTTATTTTTTTTTTTTTGTGTGTATAGAAAAAAAATATAAATTGAAACGTCGATGATACACCGGGAATATTAATATACTTACATATTCGGGAAGAGAAACCAACAACTACAACAAAACTGTCGGACATTGTTTATCGTGTTGCTGTCTATTATAACGCCTAATTAAAATTCTATGTTCTATCGAATTAAATTCTATCACAGTGTTCTTCAATTTGCCGTTCGCGAAATATCTAAACAAGGAAAGGGAAGAAAAAGGGGGAGAAAAATAAAGAAATAATGAATATCATCTTTTCGCGAGATAGGGTTCGATGAACTCGAACGAAGAGAGGGAGGAGGGAGTTGTAAGTTTAACGTTCATAGTGATTATATAAGAAGAAAATCGAGAGAGAAAAAAAAAGAAACCGAGTATAATATACAGTAAAGGAGATATCAAACTCTGTATAAAATAACGTTTTAGTAATATGTGTGAATAAACAGGTGCCTGAAAGTAGAATGTGTGATGTGTGTAAGTGTGTGTACATGAAAAAGAGAGAATACAGAAGACCGAAAGAAAGAGAGAAAGAAAGGAAGAGAAAGAGAGAGAGAGAGAGAGAGAGAGAGAAAGAAAGAGAGAGAGAGAGAGAGAGAGAGAGAGAGAGAGAGAGAGAGAAAGAAAGGGGAAGAAAAAGAAAAAAAGGTTGAAAGAATGAATCATATTTACGCATACATGTATATATAATATATATCCATAGATATATATTATACACATACTTGTGCACGTATTTACTTTGCATATACATATTATATACGAGTATGTATTAAGAGAAATCACGCAAACAAAAAAAAAAAACGAGTTAAATATAGTAATTAACATAGAAATAATAGTGCATTAAGTAATATAACAACCCCATAAAAACTCGGGGGTACCCTAAACAAGAGAACAAAAAAAAAAGAAGAAGAAAAAAAAAAGAAAAAAAGAATACTGTTTAATTGTACAGCCCTAAGTTTTTAGTTGTGTTCATTATTATATACAGCGGGATCAAATTGTATGTGTATAGGTGACACTGTTGTATAATCTTCTGCATCGAAAAAAAACGCATTCGCAAACAGTCATACGTGTATATCCGCCGTGCGTAAATCCGAAAAGAAAAGGATTATGAAAATGAATTCGATAATGATATATCGATCCCGATTTCATAGACGAAAGAAAAAACGTGTAATGAAGGAAGAATAAAAAGAGAAAGAGAGAAAGAGAAAAAAAGGGGATGGGGAGGGAGTTTGGGAGAAAGAGAGAGAGAGAGAGTAAACTTTTTTCCATCTTTTCTTATCCGATCAAGATTGTTCATAAGATCGAAATAAATAAATACTTAAATACTTTTATCGACCCGCGCAAAGAGAATTAAAAAAAAAAATAAAAAAAAAAATGGCGGACGAAAAAAGCTCGATTGCAGTCTAGTCCTGGACATTATAAAACTAAATATGTGATCCAAGTTTAAAGGGGAATGAACGCATGATCTTAGAGAGATGATATATTTGTTTTTTTCTTTTTTTAACGAATGAATATGTAAAAAAAAAAAAAAAAAAAAATAATAAGAAAAAAAAAAGAAACGAAGAAAAATAAAAACCCTCCAGCGTGCGAGAGAGTGTGCATGCGCGTGCGTGTAAAAGGCTCTACTACTAGTAGCGTATATCTAAAAAGAAGAAGAAGAAACAAAAATCAGATTGTAAAACTAATTATCGAGTTAACAACGTGTATAGATTTATCGACTTTAAAATTAGTTAGTAAAACTTGTACGCGTGACACGTTTTAAAGAAGAAAATAGGTAAAAGAGAAAAGAAAATATGGAACGATCATCGTCTGGCGAATAAATATACTAGACTATTTCCTTCCAACTTTGATCTCTCTCTTTTTATCCTTCTCTCTCTCTCTCTCTCTCTCTTTCTCTCTCTCTCTCTCTCTCTCTCTTTCTTTCTCTCTATCTATCTCTTTCCCTCTTTTTCTCTTTTTCTACGTCGATTATTCGCTAAAACCGATTCTTACTAAAAGAAAGAACATAAACGCGCGACGCATTGTGGAACATCATCTCTCATTTCACTTACATATTAGTAGTAGTGCATCGCCGAGAGTAGAAGGACAATCATAGGTGGTAGTTATACGCCATTTTAAATTTGCGCGTATTTAACGAAGCTTATTTCATCTTATTCTTTATTAGAAAAAGAGCGTCGCGTAGAATAATATCAGTATCCCTCTTATACGAGTCGTTCTGTCTTTGAACTTTCAAATAAATGAACATTTATCCAATCCTTAATCAAAGACGAAATAACGAAAAGAAATCAAAGGAAGGATTACGGATCGTTTGTCTCTCTTTTCTTTCTTTCTTTCTCTCTTATACTCTCTATCTCTCTCTCTTTTTCTTTCTTATGGATGTCAAATCAATTTTTATTGGGTTGTCCTTCGTTCTTCATATTTGTCGACAATCGTTGTTCAATAATCAACCAACCCTTCTTTTTCTTTTGATCTTTTTCGTTCATGTCGACGAAAATGTTGAAAAATTGAAAAAAAGAAAAGAGAGGAAGAAAGAAAGATAGGAAGAGAGGGGAAGAGAGAGAGAGAGAAAGAGAAAAAGGAAGAGAAAGAAAGTTGTAAAAGACGATTACACGATGATTTGTAATTTTCGCGTTAAAACAACGGAGGGTCCCTTGTGTTACGCGTAAAACCGTCGTGTGCAAGAGCGAAATCGTCAATTTATGCCTGCAATCTTTAATTATTAGCAAACAAGAGAGAATTGCTAACGATAAACGATTATGATAATGACATTAGTATAAAGAAAAGTATATGTAATGATACGATACTGAAGCATCATCATCTTTTGTATCATTTGTTCGTTTGTTCTTATCTTACTGCGTTTGTCTTTCATTATTAATGCAATACCAAGATGACTCGGTTTCGACTTAGTATCTTGTGTGTAAATATATACTAATAAAGAAAATTATAGCGAATGGAGGAGGAATCATTATTTGGTCCCAATTATTGGTGATGATTTCCAAAAGATATCATTCCAAAATAAATTTCTCTATAGCGATTAAAACAGTTTATTTAACATATCAATATTAAATACGTGATTCATTTAATCAGAGAAAAAAAAACGATATACTAAGCTGGTAAATATATATATATATATATTGAAACGATTTGTAACTATAAGATTTAACACAATTATGCTCGAATATAATCTTTTAAATCAAATCACGGAATACGACGAATGACGACGTTAAAAAGAAACTAAAAAAATAAAAAAAAATAAATAGAGAGATTACAACGAAAGATAAAGTACATTAGTAAAACCAAAGATACGAGAAGATTTACTGTTATACCACAAAAAAATTGAAGTACGTATAATTTAACGAAGAAACATCAGATAATTCGTTTAAAAAATCGTGCGCGTATAATCTTTTCGATAATACTAAACGAAATATTATTAATGAATGAGAAATTTTTGCATGCAAAAGAAAATATATAGGTAAGTAAATCAGCTTGTAATGGGATTCAATTATTTAAAAATGAGAAAGATATAATACGATTCCTTCACAACGGTGCTACCTCCTTCTCTCACCCTTCTGTGTCTTGCGCTTCTCTTTCTTTTCATCTTTTAATTGCTTCTGTTTCTCTCTGTAATGTAAAGAAATATTAATTATACTTTTTTGTCGCAATTGCATAATGAAACACGAAATTTAAAAAGCTTACCTATCTTCCTTATCTTTTTCTTTCTTTTTTTGACTTTCTAACTTGGCTTTCTCTCGCCTTTCTTTTAGTTGTTGCACTATATTAGCAGCATTCAAATTCTTCTCTATACCAATTTCTTTTCCACCTTCTTCTTCCCCGTCTCCCTCGCTATCCTCTTCATCAGACATCTGACTGTACTGTGCTAATATAGCTTCACGTATTCGTCTTTCTTCCTCTGTATAACTTTTTTGCGTTGTAGTCGGAAGACTCTGCGACTCCAACATACGTGCCAATCTGACATCAACATCTTCTGCTGGAACATTAGGACTGGCAACTGCCTCTTTTGGTAACCATTCTGCCCAAGCGCTTAAGATTTCAGTGACATGCTTGCTTATATTATCTTCCTATAAAGGAAAGATTTCAAAATCTTTATCCCCTTATAACGCTTAAACATTAACGCTTAGTTAAAATGGATCAATAACACTTTCAGATTTCATTCCATAAGCGTGGATAATTATCACATATGCATTCGTACTCTCACATAAAATATGTAAAAAAAAAAAATATATATATATATATATATAAATATATGTTATTACTAATGCATTAAGGAATAAACAAAATAGGAAATACTCTCACAGGATCATTCTGAGAACATCATTTTGTCATATAAAACGAAAACTTATGCTAATAATTTCTTTAAGAATGTACATGCTTAAGCACCATATAAAAACATAGCTTCTGCTATTTTTGACCGGCTAACTTTTCTCATCTACTAACACCAAGCACATTCTAACCTTACAATCCGTGTCGTCCTCACCGTTATGCCCGCAAGTATGCTTTCAAGCGCCTCGATTTTTTCATCCTCCGTTTCATCTCCTTCCAATATTCCTTTAATGTACGATCCGAAAACACCCTCGTCCGTATTTAATTCTTGTAATTTTGTGTTTAACCAGGTATCAAACGAATTCGTTGCGACCGCCATGTTCGGCGTTTTCCGACACCTCTGATTGGTAATAATCCGGTAGATAGCGACAAATTTACTTGCAACGATTTCAGTAGACATTAATTATCAAGTTTTTATTTACTTAAGTAAAATTTTACCCTTAAATTCATCACTGCGCAGGAGCGGTTAAATAACTACATTTTTATTTTTATTATTTATTAAACAATATTACTTATCTCTAATCATTCTTTTTTTTCGTGAAAATAAAATTTCATTAATTTCATATATTGCACGGTCTTTTATTATATAAAAAATATAAAAATAAATTATAATTATGCATATCTAATTGTGTTCGATTTACGAACACGACAAACTTTGCCAATATGTATTTATTGAAATAAATAAAAAGATTATGTATTGATTTTTATCGAACGCGTTCTTCGTTTGCTAAAAGTAAGATTTCATATCCTTGTACAATTGTTTCTAGTAATCTATTTAAAGCAGTTCATAGATAGTATTTCTTTCTATTTCATAACCCTTAATGTAAATGTAAAATCACGCGTTTAAATTTAATTTCATTAGAACAGTAAATAGAGATTTAATAAAAATAAATAAAAAATTCAGTTGAAAAGTGCATCTCTGCGAACTGGACGATTTGTATGTTAGGCTATTGTATCACTTGATTGTATGATTAATGTAGTTTTCTTTTGGTTACAGGTGATCATCGTTAAATTTATCATCTACTCGTTTTTTAATTTTCTTCTACTTTTTAAAATATATATGTATAAAAAACGCATCTCTGAAGGCACAAACGTATTTAGATACTAAAAATTAAATATAATTATTTTAAATTTTCTTACACAATATAACTATACTACATATACTATAAAAGAATATTGTATTCTTTAATAGTATTGTACAGTCATCGCATTAAGTACATATTATCGTCCAATGGTGGTCCCAATGGTAACAAAAATGATGCTGGGTAGATAAAAAAGGGGACTTGTGAGTTTCCATATACTTCACCACAAAAAAGTTGGCATAGAACCGCAACAGCAGAAAAAAATGAAAAAATGAAAATATTTACCTATTGTTTATACATTATGAACAATTAACTTATTTCTTTTCACTACCTTATAGGTTGTTACTTTGGAAATCAATTTTAAATATATACCCTGTAGGTATACCAACTTTACTCTCATTTTTTTCTAAGTGTGCTTGCGCCTTGACTTTGTGGTTGCACATGCGTATAACATATCTCCCAGTCATGACGTCGCCATTTCATAATTATTCAAAGTGTAATAATTATTTTCAACTAATTAACGATAAATAAAAAATATTTGATACAATAAAGTTGAGCAAATAGTGTGCAAATAAGAGCACTTATTCATTTTTTTCTGCTGTTAAGGTTCCTTAGCAGCGTTCCTACGATTTTATGATTGGTAAAATGTTTTTTTGACAGTCGGTAAGACAAGAAACTATCTTACTGATAGTCGATTAAAATGGAATTTATTTTTTAACTTGATTATGACAACATCAACAACGACGACAAGAAAGAAAACTAAATTCTATTTCACCCGCCTTGAATTAAAAGTTATGAAATAGAAAAAAATACTATCTATGAACTGCTTTAAATAGATTACTAGAAACAATTGTGCAAAGATATTATTATGAAATCTTACTTTTAGCAAACGAAGAACGCGTTCGATAAAAATCAATACATAATTTTTTTTATTTATTTCAATAAATACATATTGGCAAAGTTTGTCGTGTTCGTAAATCGAACAATCAGATATACATAATTATAATTTATTTTTATATTTTTTATATAATACAAGATCGTGCAATATATGAAATTAATGAAATTTTATTTCCATGAAAAAAAGAATTATTTGAGATAAATAATATTGTTTAAAAAATATTAAAAGAAAATAATTAGGTTATTTTATGTAATGTCTACTTTTAGATCATACTTTTGGCAGATCACAGCGCCATCTGTTTTAGTAGGCTACCTTCGTCAGTCTGCTCGCATTCTGCAACGTATTTGACTGGTTATTTTAGCGAATTGTCTTCGCGTAAAAATGAATGTGATCGCGAGATCTGCAAATATTTCACCGTATTTGAAATCGACGGTGACAGTTGTTTCAAATGGAGCAAGAGCGGTAGCACCGACTGGTAAAGTTCAAAGACCAGCAATTGTCGTCCTAAGTCCCGTCACGCCTATGGTCAATGATACTTTACAACAGAACATTATTTCTGGAGTTGTTAGAGTGAGCTCAAGTATTTCAGGTAGGTACTGATGCATTTCGTCTATGCGTGAATTGTGATTTTCCAAATTCATTGATAAATTGAACTTTTTCATTTGATTATATAATCATTGCAGTATTGTACTTTAACTTGTACATATAGATTTATTTCTATAGATAATGAAGCAAATATGAAAAGAGGGTTTTATTTTTATACAGTTTGTTTGTGGTTCCTCTTGCACACATTTATAAATATATTAAATTTATATTTCTTTTACAGCTCCCACGCGAATACATCAGACTCGTGGAGCTCACTCTGACATTCGAGTTCCAGATTTTACTGCGTATCGCAGAGATGATGTTAAAGATCCAAATGTAGATAGTCGTGAAAGTGCTGCCTCGAGAAAATCATTTTCTTATCTCTTAACAGCAGGTAGAACCATTTTATTCATTTAGAATATATGATAGAATAATTTTTACATTATTTCATTTGATTTGTAGGTACTAGTTTGGCTGCTGTTTATTCCACTAAAACAATAGTCTATGATATTGTGATGACGATGAGTGCAGGTGCTGATGTATTGGCATTGGCAAAGATCGAAGTAAATCTTGATGATATACCGGAAGGAAAGAATGTAGCATTTAAATGGCGTGGCAAGCCTATATTTATCAGGCACAGGTATGACACTTGTATAGATACATTTTTACATATGCGTACATTATTCAAGTCTTTTGTTTAATGTATTGGTAATATCGTATAAATAAGTATATCATATAAAACATAGGCGGTTTTTAAAATTTTCCATTTCTTAGAACGCAAGCTGAAATCTCTAAAGAAGCTAAAGTTGATGTAGCCTCTCTTCGTCATCCGCAACATGATACTGATAGGACACAGAAACCAGAATGGCTAATTGTTATCGGTGTGTGCACGCATTTGGGTTGTATACCTATTCCCAATGCCGGAGATTTTGGTGGTTATTATTGTCCATGCCATGGTTCTCATTATGATGCCAGTGGTAGAATCAGAAAGGGTCCTGCTCCTTTAAATCTTGAGGTTCCACAATACACTTTCAAAGAAAACATAGTAACTATCGGTTAATGATGGTTCGGTCTGTGTAGTAATAAATCGAAAATATTTAATAGAATATTCAGCAAATTGAATTCTTTTCCTAAGAATAGGATATAATGAATTAATAATGATTTATTAAATACGTATAGTGACATTTCATATATTATGAAATGCCCAAGTGTATTAACAGAAACACTTTACGTGTATAATATTAAAGTTGTACAAACTCTATAATAAAAAAGAAAAGAAGACATGTAGAGGTTAATCGTTCACATATAATTCGTCGATTTAATATTATTTATAAATTTGGTAAAAGATCTATTTACAAGAAGAAGAACCGAGTGGCTTGCTGCCGGAGGAATGAACGTTCATTGTAACATTCGATAGGTAAAAAGAAATGAAATATATACCTGTAAAGTATTATACAAAAAGTTTGATTTCATTGAGAAATAAATAAACTAACATTGTTAGAAGAAAGAACTTCCCTCAGAAGACTGTCCAAAAAAACCCGCGTCGCGAGTTTATACATCAAAATAGTTCCTGCTTCCGCAAGATAGCGCTGCGAACGTTCTTAAGGAGAAACATGCTTGTCCTTTCGGCGTATGTGACAAGGGGCGTCCACGAGGCTCCCAATCCATCGTTTTTCAGTTTCCCTCGCTGCTGGCAGCGTACGGACGGTGATAAGAATTGAATTAGTCGCTCCGTCAAAATTCTTTTTCGACAAGTCACGCGTTATCAAAGAAAGTTTCGATTTAAATGAAACCTCGAGCTTGCCGCTTTTTCTATGACGTTTCGAAATAAATGATACATATTAGCGAAAGGGTGAGAGAAAGATAGGAGGGAAAAGGGAGAATTACGATGCATCGTTCCCACGTTTCTTCTTGTCAACGGGTCGCGGTACGTCGTGAAAGGGTTAAGAAGTGAGCTCGAGATTTCGAGTGGAAGAAAGGAGCTAAGGGTTACGTGAGAAGAGGTGGAAGGACGAATGAAAGAAGCTGCCACCAACTTTTCGTAAGTCTCCTACTTAACTTATATATAAATATATATATATACATATTTATATGTATATATGTATATGCTACTATTTTGTATTCTATCAATTTTATAGTTCGAATTTTAAATGTACTTCCACTTGCTATCCTTTGATATTTGCCGGTCTGTTTCGTTTGACAGTTGTTCATAAAATTTAGGCTGTCACCGATGAGTAGCTTCCTACGACCTAAATCCGCGCTTTCGAGATTCGAAAGTGCGATGAGCCCGCGTTTCTTCCTAAACTTCAACATTTATACGTATGTGTGTGTGTATAGACTCGTGTATTATTCCTTTGACGTAATAGATATAAGAGCGCCTGTCATCAATATTCTTAATATATATGCACACATATGTGCATATATGCACATGCATACTATGCCGTGAACGAACATGCAATAATGCACCTATGTATCGAAAGAATAACAAATGAAATATTTTCAATTCTTTTAGAGTTATAAGAAAAAACGCATTTCCTGTTTTTCACAAATATTATTTTTTAATCATATTTTAATTCGTCGAGGAAAAAAAAAGAAAATGGACGTGCACTTGATTAGATCCGGTGTTTGGTAGTTATCATTTTAATTCACTTAGTAACCAATGAAAAAATATTTTAATTATTATTCCGCATAAATTTTACGTTTTGCATATACTTCAATTTATTTTCCTGAAAATGTATAATAAATATTCGTTAGAATTACATTGATTATTGAATAAAAATACGAGTAATTTAAGCGTACACGTGTAGAAATGGAAATATGTAAGTTATACAAATGGAACAAAAGGAACGTAGAATGTTAATATATATCGCATAAATATTTATTCGAAAATGCACTTTTGTAATTAAAACTTTATCTTTCGTCTTGGTTTGACATGTAAATAATTATCGTTGTTCGAGAAAAATGTTGTTAGTCATTATTCGTTTTGTATTAAATAAAATAAAAATAAAAAAGACCACAAGCAACGAAAAAAAAACATGCGATGAGGTCAAAGATAACCGAACGGAATGTTGTTAATTTGAAATGTTTCAAAATTAGAAATCTAATTCTAAAAACACATTATCCTATGTATAATATATATATTAACACGAGATAATATATATATATATATAATAATATATTATATAATATTTCAAATTTACGAACGTTACATGTTTTTTTTGTCTAATTTTACGAATAAGTAATAATGATTAAGAGAAAGAAAGAGGAGAGATATTTTTGCGTTCTGTTCGTAGAATTGGTAGAAAAAAGTAGAAATTCATAGAGTCCCTTATTTCCTATTGAAATAAATATCATTAAATAGGTATTACGTGAAATATCATGAGAATTATTTCTCATCGTCCTTCTCTTTCTCTCTTTCTCTCGCTCTCTCTCTCTTTCTCTTTTTTCTTTTTTTTTTCTTTCTCGGAATGACAAAGCTTGTGTTTATCATATCGCGAACGTTGAAGCTTCAAAATCGTATTTAAGGATTCGACCGTTCTTCTAGCTTCTAACGATGACATTCCGACAAACGCGTTATATGTTGTAGTAAATACATACAACACCGGTGGTGTATTTATATACTAAATGCGTGTTATGTATATATATCCTTGTGCACGTTCCCCGAATGACTTTTAGAGAGACATACATACCAAACAGAGTTTGCATCTTTCTACTCGGCAGTAGAGATTACGGTATCTCTTTATACGCATCTTTCAGTCTTTCAAAGGTAAAATTCTATTTGACTTTCATAATTAATAAAAAGAAAGAGACATAAATTTCTTCTTAGTTTTGAAACCGAAACGAATCGTGTGTCGGTGCTAAGTATTCTTATTGTTGTTAAGAACGAGGATAGAAAGAAAAGTAGAAGAAGAAGAAGAAGAAGAAATTAGAATCGTCATTGCATTGAGAGATCTCGGGTAAGATAACAAAGACATTTTTTGTGACAATAGTTGTGTTGTTCGTTTCTATTCTTAAATAACTTGCGCAATTAATAATTATCTTCTCTATATATCATTATATCGAGTATCGTAAATTTAAATATTAGATAAAGATAACGAGCAAGTGTAAAGTTATGGATGAATATATCGTAGGACACGGAAATATCGAATTATTTTGTAGAAAATCGATAGAGATATATTTTTCACAAGAGATGTTATTACTAGGTCCTTCGCAAGGATCGATCTTTCGATATAACGCAATAAAAGTGCAATAATACAGAGGAGAAAGAGAAAGAAAGAGAGAGAGAGAGAGAGAGAGAAAGAAGTGATCGCAATTTATTCATAAGGAAGGAGGATATAATATTTCCTCGCGCGAACGCTTGCACGTGTAAATGTTTCTCCATCTTCTTTTTTTTTTTTTTTTCGTTCATGCTTCTAATTCTTTATGCAGCCAAGAAAAGAAAGCAAGCGAGGAAGTTCGCAGTTGGTGGAATGCACGGAAGGGACGTTGCAGAATCCAGTTCGAGCTCTCTTCTTCTTCTTCTTCTTCTTTTAGTTTGAGCCTGTCGGATTTCGCTTTTGTGTTATGCATATGACCGAGTAGAATACATAGAAGTAAAAGTAGAAGAGAGATGGATGGATGGATGGTATACTCGAGTTTTCGGACACAAGTACTCTACGCACGTGTGTGGTGTAGTGTGTTGTACGCGCGCGCGCGCGCGTAAATTGCGTTTGTGCGTGTGGCGGGAAAAGCGAATAGGACACACGCACGAAGAGACCTTCACCGGCTAAGAGAGAATCAATAGATGTGCGCGTTGCATCTTTGCGCTAGCCCTCTCTCTATCTCTTTCTCTCTTTCCTTCTCCCTTTTTGGGTATATACCGGCACGCGCAGCAGCACACCCTTTTCCGCTCCTGGTTCGCCGTAAAAGCTCCTCGACCTTCTGCTACCTACTCGCGAGAGCTTCACTTTCTCCTTCTTTCCAATATTTTTCTTTTATTTTTCTTTTTTTACTTTTTCTTTTAAGCCCCCTCCCCCTCCCCCACCACCACCACCACCCCAATTTTTTTTTCTCTCTCTTTTTATTTTTCTTCCTTCCTTCCTTCCTTCCTTCGTTTTTCCACAACGTCCATGTTTACGCCAATTTTTTCTTAACTCCCTAATCGATGATTCCTCGAAGACGTCATACAACGACGTAATACTAATCGTTTCAACAGAGAAAAAAAAAAAAATAATTTCGATTTTCCTTTATTATCCTTGTGCGCGCGGTATAGAAATATTTTCTAACGATTCAAATCGTAGTTTCGAAACATACAAAAATGATTTTTACAACTGGGACTGCAAAGTTATATTGCTCTTTATTAATTACAAATAGAAAGAAAATGATAGAGAAAAATGTCATATGGCATAATACGTTATAACTTTTTCTATGGATGCACCTATGCAACCTACCAACTGCAATTGCACTTTATTATTTTAATCCAACACTATTTTTCTTTTTTCTTTATCCTACGTCTTTAAAGATATCGACATTTCTCGATTAAACATTGGCTTGTATTTTTCTATTCAGGATAAAAAAAGGAATCAATTGTTTAACATAGAAAAAGAAATCAAAGAGAGTAATCTGCAATTGCAGCATCCGTCATGTAGCATCGGTGCATTCGCATAAGAAAAATAAGAAGTTAAAATGTTATTATGCCATATGTGATTTGTTTCAACTTTTATTTAATAACGAGCAACACCTTGTCCCAGTTTAAATGATCACCCTGTACAACAAAAGTTTTTCATACATTTTCAACAATGTCATTAACGCGCTCGTCACGTGACATTCATTTCGCAATATTGAGTCCAATTGTTGTGATAGCGAAGTGAACTAGTCGAAGATCGTATCATCGGCAGTACACGGCGCATAAATCAAGATACATAAGCGGATAAAGGGCTAATTCCCACGTAGCCGGCACAAAATGGAGTAATTTCGTCTACTTCATCCTTATATATATACATATACATATATACGCGTGTATATGTGCGTATATATGTGTTCCAACGAACCGCGTATCCTCCACCCTCACCTACTCTCCTGTTTTCTGTCCTCCCCCTTCCCCTTCGAGCCCTCCCCCACCCCCCATGACATCGATCGTTCGCGAAGATACAACACCGCGTCGAGAGCATACCAACTCGTTCTCTTTCGTTTGTCCATTGAATTATTTAAATGGAGGATCGTCCGCGTCTGTGATCGACCACCCCTCTCTTTCACGCTTTTCTTTCCCTCGATTCGATCCAACGGCAGAATATAACCTCGTCATTCTCGTTAATAACAACTAC